GACTCAGACAACACTTGGATCACTCCCACGGAGTTGTCGAGGCTCCATGGATCCTTTTGCGCGCAGGGAGAGGGGTATATCAAGGTTTGCGTTCGGTGATGGGGAGAGGCTAGAGGCTGATCAGACCCCTGTTGCCTGCTTGAAATGCACTGGGTTCGATAGGCTCCGCAGCGCTTAGAGATCTTCACACAGCGTGAAGTCTCCTCCTCCTGGTGTTCGTGGAGTCCTCCAACTTGGGCGGAAACCACTCAAGCTTTTTATATGGCTAGCAAGCCAATCGCTAGCCGCCACGTGTGAATAATTTTACGCAAGCCCATAATCGGACTCGAATTAGAATACAAATGGCAGGAACTCTTTGCAACGAGCATTTCTGTGCTGCAACAAAGAAATGCACACTGCAAAGAATGCTACAAATTGTCAGGAATTCTTTTACACCGGGGCTTTCCTCGGCAGCAGAAAACTCCACCGTGCAAAGAAGCTGCAATTTAGCGGGAACATAATTCAGTGGTGCCAAAGCACACACAAAACAAAAATCACACCTTTGGGCTGTGACAGTTATCAAGCACATTCATCTCTGAAAAGATTTCTCCACTCTTGTGGACTCTGTTTTGACTTCCAGAATGCCAACCAATTCCTTTTACAAATCTCATAATTATGCATACAAGTTTTCTGCTTACCTTTTATACTGTATATAGCATGGTACGCTACACTACCCTACGCTTCTTCCAACCTGGGGCAACCCCTGAATATCTTTTCCCACATTTCTGGTTTGGAATATATTTTTTCTTTGGAACTTTTTATACTTTCTAAATGAAACCTTCTTCTACATATAGACTTTTGGAGAGTCTGGGTTTCTGCAAGATTTATTTGCAAAATAATTCCTGTTGATATAACAACAACAACATATCATTAGTAAGAATAATATTTTATAAATATTATTCTTATTGTCTTAGTACATAAAGACTCTAATCAGACCAAAGGTGCCCCCTCCAACCTCTCCTCACTACTCCTACAAGCTCAATAGGCTTGTGTGGTTAAGATTTGACAGGTTTTACAGCCAACGGTATGCCATGGAGTGATATGGCCCTCTGGCTGCCTTGCACTCTTCTGCCTGAATGACCAGTGAGCCTTTAACTGCTGGGTTAACTGGGATCAGCCTCTGGCACAAGCCCAGAAGACAGTCAAACACAGTTATAAGTCATAACATGATACCTCCACTGCTATGCAATCACAACTTGTGCAGACACCCATAATATAAATACTGTCCCCAAACTCTTACAAGCTAAGCCAAAAAAAAAAAAAAGCACACTAGGTTATTTGATCTGTGAAATACTAGGAGTCTCATATGAGGACAGACTACAAACCTGCGTTCTGCAGGTCAGATTAAGGGGTCAAGTCAGTTCACTCTAATCTTAAGCACCATAAAGCAACGCCTGAGCCAATTTTGCTCACACTTGCATATGTGCAAAATCATGCAATTAAATGGGGATATGTGGATATAAATTAGCCTAGAAGTCAAGTCTTTAATGTAAGATAAAGATCAAGTTAAGCCAATACATTTCTTTTTTACTATTATAATTTATCTGATCAGAATTTAATTTCACTACTTTTGCCAGGCTTTTATTAAAATGAAATACAAACAACACTCCAAGCTCTCCATGGAAAGCTGACTAATATTTAATGAACATTCAAACACAGTAAAAGCTGGTTATCTGGCACATTACCATCCGGAATGCTCTGTTAACCGGCATGCTAATCGACGCAGAACCACCTGCTGATTGACGTGGCAAAAGTGAAACTGGAAGTGGCACTTCGATGAGTCCCACTTCTTCCTTGTTTGCCATTGCCCGGGGCAAAGCAGCCTGCATGGGGCCTCCCCCGCTGTCCCCCGGCGCACTGATGCCAGGGAGTGAAAGCCCTGGTGCACCAGACATGGTGGGAGGGGCGGCGGCCCAAATAGGCAAAGACGCCTCTCAGATAACCGGCATATTTGGTTATCCAGCACCCCCCATTCGCCATGGATGCTGGATAACAGAGCTTTTACTGTACTGCAATTATAATAGTATTAACATGCACATACTATAAAAGAATGAACTTTGAAAGGATTAAAAACTCTCAGCTGACAATATACACTCCTATAAACAATTGCATGCATCAGTATGACATACAGGAAGATTAAACTTTTTTTTTCTTTAGGGAAGAGAAAATAGTACCAAAATATATTTTTTTCCTCGTTGAGTTTTGCGTCTTCTCTTTTTGGCACTACTCACCAGAACAAACAGGTCATCCCACATGGAGTCTACATTGCCTTCTGCTGCCTTTTGTGTTTAGAGTTGGCTAAATATTGAGCCAATCTAATGAGGGTCCTGCCATCCAGCAAAATGCTTGAACCTATGCATAACTTGGAGCTTGTCAAAAGTTCCACTGAAATAATAAAAAAGCTTATATAGCTGCTCTGGTTAATAAAAATAAAAAAAATAAAATATTTTTTCCATACAATAGGTCTGTATGCCCATATTTGAATACTTGTGCTTCAAAATTTTGGCCAATCAAGTCTATCTTTTCCAGTCCTTATTGGATTTTTTGCCATAAGAGTTGTCAAGATTATGAACGCAATGGGCTAGCTCTCAATCCAAGATATTTAAATGGTACTTACTCTTAGGCATTTAGTCATTATATGTGATCCTAATCCATTCTGAACTATCCATCCATTCACTAGGATACCCAGATTTCATACATCTCCATTCTGGCCTATCCTGATAAGCACCCCTTGTTTCAGGGGCACCTGGCTAAACCCCTAGGGACAGAGGTAGGGCTGGAAGCCATGTCCAGCAGAGATCCCTTGAACTCTTACTATGCATTTTCTACTTCAGGAACAGCTTTGTGTTCTGAAAAAAGTATTTTATCTAACCAAGGGCATAGAGTAGGTTGTTTAGGCTGGGGGAGATTGCTTGTTGCTTAGTTGTTTATAATTGCTGGCCTCGCTAGAGGAAAAGCTGTATCAACAAAGTTCCGGAGCTGGAAGGGGGGTTACTTGGGGGGGAGCTGGAAGGGGGGTTACTTGCTGGGCTTGCTACACATTTCATCACATCAGCAAGTTTAACCTGTTACGTAGCTATATAAGGCAGACGCCCACTGGGGTGGGGGTGCTTGCTTTGCGAATGATTGCCAAGCACCACTTTCTGCGCAGGAAATAAAGGTTAAGTTGGATCCTTCACCCCTGTGTGTTTATTGGCACAAGCGCACCGGGCACGAACTCACTGTCCTTTGGGGACAACAATCCCATATGCTCAGAAGTGGTTTATTGAGCCATGGTAGCGTTGGAGTGATGTTGTAGCTGAGACAGTCCAGGAGTTATGCAAAAGGCAAGGATTTTTTAGAGTCACATCTTTTCTTGGACCAACTGCATGTTTGAAATAAAATGACACCTAATTCTGCTCATACACTGTTGCAATCCTACTCCATCTGGGAAAGTCTATAAATGTTGTATGAATGGTGCATGTATCCCTCAATTGATGAAAAACTAGTTGGGAAAGGGGAAGAGCAGGAAGAGTCTAGCCACTTTTTAGCTCATTAGTCTAATGATTAGGGCGTATACCTAAAAAGTATAAGAACAATGATTTAGGCTTTCCTCAGCCAGACTGGATCCAAGTCTCCTACTTCCCAGCAAAACACCCTATCCACCACACCATGGGGCAAGGGAGGGCTTAAAATATCCATATCCTGTTGCTGATCTTGTGCCATTGGGTAGTCAAGTGTTGAAGATTCAGGAGTCCAGAAGAAGAGTATCCATGAGGATGCTTTAGTCTCTAGCCCAGTGAGGAGAAATCAGTGGACTGTGGCATTCACTTCCAACCCGTATTCCAGCCCTCAATGTTGTTTTTGCGTTCTGCATCGAATAGTCATTGGATAAAACAGTTAAACAGCATGAGGGCCAGAACTGAGGGCTTCCCCATCTCTGGGCTTACAGACCCATACTCCTGTTTGTTTGTTCTTCATTGGGGTCCACAACCCTCATATGCCTGCCTGCCCACTGGATGAGTTTCAACAAGGGTGTAGAATATTCTCACCCTGTCTACCCTATGGTCAGATAATTAGGACACTTGGCTGGGAAGACAAAGACAAAGTCAAACATCTTCTGATGAGCATGGCCTAGCAGCTGGGGTCTCACTTCTTGGCCCGTGCTCAGACCATTCGGTAACTGAACTAAAAGAGGAATGGGTAACCCCCCTTTTCTGTCCATGTATATCTTGGAGAGAGCTGGATTTCAACATGGCATGATGTTTTCACTGAAGGAAAAGGAGAGCGCTCTGTACCTCACGCACAGATTAGGTTTGACAAAGGTTGCCCTTTCTTAGAATATAACTGGAATCCTAATCATCTCCTTGGGATGAATTAGGAACTGACTTCTAGGGATGCATTAGCTTGCTCATTGAGAAAATAGGAAAGTTTTTCATCTCCCTAGGTGGATTAGAATTTGTCTTCTGAAATGAGGTGTACTTTTGGGGCTATCCATGGCAAAGACCTAGACATCTTACAGACAGATTAAGATCTGGCCCAAAGCAATGTATTTGAGGAGGGACATTTCAGCAAGAAGATGATCCACAGCTTCTCTAGTCACAGGCTAACTCCAATATAAGATTTTGTCACATACCCTGGTCTTTTTCATAGGATGGTTTATCTGAGCAATGCTGAAATAAGAGCCATTTTCTAAAAATATTTATTTCTAGTTATTGCTTATATTTAAACACCCAAAAAAGAGCCTCATTTTGAGACACTTGGCACTGTGTGTTTTGTGTAAGGTGTCTCAAGTTGGGCACGCAAGAATTAAGGAACCCCCAAAATAGCTTTAGTCACCGTCACAACACTTGGCCACGACAAATTGTACTAAAGAGAAATGTCTGTTCCTTCCTGGAAGCAGCACAACTTGAGGCAGCATCCATGGAAAAATTCACTCAAATGATACAGCTTTTTTTTTTAACATTTTTATTTGTAACAGTATTACATGGTGTGTTACAGAAATTAATGGAAAATTCTAAAAATTTGTTGTTCTTTTGTTGAATGCATTATACATAAAGTTAAAAATAATGTGTCCATATATGTTAACAAATAATGATCATCATCTGAGGTAAAGTTAAAGTAGGTCTAGAAATGTACTGCAACAGTCATTTTATCTTTCTCATCTTTATTAAAAAAATATGTGTCAGAATGCAGAAATAAAAATGAATGAAAACCACAGAGTAAACATTTTTGCAAAGAAGGTGCCCAGTACATTATTAGATGATAAGTTTCATCAGACACTTGGATGACTACAATCTATCAAAATATTTTTCATGACATGTAAAGATCAGGAAACTACAGGGGATGATAACAGGATGGTGGGTGGGATTCCCTGGTTTAAAAATTTAAAGTGACAAATTTAGTGCTAGTGAAGGATGAGGGACTTAAACAATTGCACAAGCTGGATCATGTATTTATCTACAATACTGATACAGTGCATACCCCCACATTCCTCTGCAAATCAGCATCTCAACAATGACAAGGACAGGCTAGGGCTATGGTATGGTAGCTCCGGATTTCTTTTTTTTTCCTAACGCCGATTAAAATGAAGAAAACAGTCGATGGCAATGGGGACTATCATCTCTCATGAAACATCCAAAAATCCCAACCCTATTCAATATTTACCTACTTTTTGCATGGACTTCTTCCACCCAAAGGTAGGTCAGTCTGAGCTCTAGAAATGGAATGACAATGGATTTACTGAGCCATGACTTTGCTTTTCTTTCTCTTTGAACATTTTACTGCGCAACTGAAAATGCACTGACTATACAATACTTCAAATGTTTATGAAGAATCAAAATGATTATCTCGATGGGTCCATTTTGCAAGAGAAAACCTAAGAAGAGCCTTACTGAGGAAGAAAGTAGCACCACTTATTGAAAGCAAAAATAGTAAAAAGAAATGTCCTTCGGGAATATTTTGTCCTTATTTTAATCCCCAAACTTATAACCTGTATGTTTTAATTTAACTCCTAAAGTTAGATAACTGCTTGCCTCTTTCTTCTGATGTGAAAATGACTTTGCTACCGACTGTTTGCATGGACCAAAGGATATGGTGGATGGGGATAAAACATGTTTTCTCTGTATGTTCATTAGGTCTATCCACAGATAATCTGTCATTTGCATACATTCGCTAACGCATCTCATTCAACATAAGAGACTGGAATCATGTTATGAGGTTTGGTTGTACAATGACTACCCCTGCTCGTCTTTCAGCTTTCCTCGTTTACAGCAAATAAACTGATTTCTAAACCCTTTTTTAGTTTATATATAGATGATTGAAAGTAAAAAGTTTACAACTCCAGGCCTATTTTAATCAATGACAGAAATGGAAAGCCTAATGTTTCAATTTAAAAACAAAATCGGCACAATAACCCTAAAAACAGATTCATCATTTGATTTGTTTAAACTTTTTTTTAGTGTTAAACCACTAAATTCAATACATTGTAACTGCATAGGAACATCAGGAAAACACATTTGACCTGTATAACAACTCTCTGTAGGGCAAAAATATAGTTTTTTTTCCTGAAAATCATGTGCTAAACATATGAACCCAAACACTGCACTTCTGTTTCATAAATGTAAAAAAAGGAAGTTTTTAATTTTTCTGATCTGTGTGTAAACAGTTTGATGATTTCCACGAAGAGATGTCAGAATCATAAAGAAATGTCTATGAAATGGGTTTTTTTTTTTTTTTAAAGAAAAAGATGTGGAATACATTTGCGTGGAAAAAGCTAGATCATAAAAATCATGTGTTCCCATCAATTTAACTAGTCGCTGACAAACTAACTGCTGTTGGCAAATGCACTTGAGCCTCAGCCCGTTATCATAAGCATGTGAGAAAACATACGTGATGCAAAAACCACCATTTGGGTTTGCCACACCTCCCAAGCACTGCAATTTGCTACCTTCTCTACTGTGTAATGGCATTATTAAAAGAACTTCCAGAACATTTATATTTACAAAAAAAACTGGCAATTTTCATTCGAACTCCTTAAAGCCATTTCCCCTTAAACATTTAAAGAGTTTAACAGTAAGATTTTTTTTTTCAAGTTATAAAATAAAAATCCCATTTGAATTTTCTGATGTACAAAAAAGTGATAAAGATGAACAGTTTGATCACAGAATCAGTTTGTTATTCCAAAATTCATGCCACTGGTGTCCCATTTAAAAGTCTGTTTTATCCAAATCCATAAACCAGAATCATACCAGAATTATTTGGCAAATGATTTTTTTCTTCAAAAATGGCACACAGAGAAGAAAATGCTTGTCTGCATAGCATTACAGCAGCAAGAGATTGAAGAAATAAAAAATATTCCTTTTACTGTACTTTTTTTTTTTTTTAAAGAGTTTCCTAGGAAATAATGTATTTTTCATCTCTTTCATCAATGAGATCTGATGTCCTTTCTCTACCCACAGCATGAGTATTCAAACAGAAGAGTAGCATTTCTTCCTCATGACGCACTAATATAAAGGTCCATTTGGCAACATTTTTCGGTCAGGATGAATCATCAATGCAGTTTTATTCTGCGGTTTCAAGTTAGGAATCATTTCCAAGAGGAGGCATTTTGCTGTTAGACTCTGTCACTCATAGAAAACAAACAGAATAGAAATACCAAAAAAAAAATGACACAGCCAGTATTTTTTTTTTTTAAATATACCTAACGGGGAAAATGTGTCAGGATCCGCCTGGTGTAAATGATGATGCGAAACATGTCACCATGTCATAAAAAGTGCCGACTTGTGCCTGAAAGGCTGTTGAATGATGATGCCACTGCTACATACCGTTTCTGCTTTTTTGCGGAAAAGAAAATGCCTAATACATGATGAATTTCAAATGTTTAGTATTCATATGTGGCGTATAGAAGATAAAAGTTTAAAAGAAGAACAAGGTGTAAGATTTCCAATTATGTGTACTCATAACTCACGGCGAGAGGGCTGGACTCTGTATGGTAAGCAGGGCTCGTTTTTATTTTTGTGCTGCCATAGAAATTTGCCATTGGTTGCCAAAAACCGTCAGGGAAGTTTGTCGAACTGATCCAGTAGGGCAATCATTTATCTTTTGTCAGACGAGATCAATTGGGGAAAAAAGCATGAGTGCCAAAGGCCTGTCAGGTTGTAGATTTTCATTTGAGTCTTGAAGCACCACAAGCCTGTAACAATGCTATTTCTTAGGTCTGTTGATCTGGGCGTAGAGAGGCTCATCTTCCTGAGAACAATAAAAATAAAATAAGCATAGATGCCTCAAAACATTTTTAGCACATCTGCTTGTGAACAGCAATATATCTAGACTTCAAATCCAAAGGGAACTTCTAAGGAAATGTTTGCTTTCATGCAGTTGTGAAAGAACATGGCATTTTAAAGAAAAAATTGACTTATGTCAGAGAGATTTAACATCATTATACTTGAATACATTTTACAGCACGTCTTGTATACTGGCCCTCAAGAAGTACTGCCGAGCATGTGTGTGTGAAGAAATGAAAAGTTAATTAGATGATTAGATTATTTCAAGTTTATGGGTCAGAGCCCTACCCAGTACAAATCATTGTAGCTCCAGTCTTCTCAGGCAGAGGAGCTGGTCCAAACAGTATGTCACAGAACAAAGCTGAGTATTATTACATGCTGTTTATGAAGAATACGTATTTGCTAACAGATTAATAGCTACTGCAAGTAAAACGAATGAAATTGTGGTTGGACTTCTCTGTATGACATTTAATGGAAGGGATTAGCATTATGTCTATACAGTCATTAATCGAAATATAATCACAACTATTGGAAGGAAGGCACGATGATTTGCTAGCGGCTATTTTATTTTGAATAGCTTGGAAATAAAAAAGGCTGCCATGTTTTTAGAGTGATCTTTCATATCTGACAGCGCATGTTTTCGTGGATGAAGCAAGTGTTCTCTCTCTCCTAGAATTCACCCTACTACATTTCCAGAAAGTAATTCATTAAACTGAAAATGACACCTAAAAAAGAACAAGACAGGCAGAAAGGCTAATTAATACCATGCTACATTAACTTTCCAGTTTGATAAATACCAGTAGGATGGTGAATGTAATGAAGTTAGAATCAAATTTGCATTGCAATAAGGTCAGCAGTGCTGACCTGAACTAGAGAACTTCGAGGATTTGACAAATCTACTCCCCGACTAGCCAGTGAGGAGGTAGAAAACACCTCGGTTGGGATAGTGGGTTGTTTGTGGGTTTCTACTCATTGAAGTTGCCACTGTAGCCTTTCTGAATATAAACCAAAACTGGGCTATTTTCTTGAATGTTCAATGCATGCAGCCTGTGGTATGAACTATCAACAACTCACGTGCTGGCTCACCTTTGCAAAGCAATTCGCCTTTGAGTTAATGCATTGCTCTGGAGTTAAGGGAAAAAAAAATCTTTAATCCTGTGCCAGAATAGCTTTTCCATGGGTCCACTACTAGCCTCAGGTTGTCAGCAGGCTCTGAGGCCAGATACAGACATGATACTTTTACTGGTATAAGATAGCAGAAATTGGTCTATACCCACAACAGAATAGAAGCTCAGCACATACAGGCTGCTTTAAAAATGGCAGAATCCAGTCTAAGATTTGCCTCCCCGACCAAAGGGTGAATGTGTGCTCTTTTGCTACCGATCTAAACTACACTGCTTGCAGAAAACTGCATGGCTTAGATAGATTCTGCCTCAGGCTTTTTGAATGTCTGTATCTAGCCTATGTCTCCTCTTTTACAGAGCAGCAACAGCTGGTAGACACAGGGCGCAGACAGAAATGACATTTGTTGCATGACTGGCCCCTTGAAATTGCTCTAAAGCCATGCTGCAACAAAAGAGAAAGGCTGCAGAGCCCTCCGATCACACGACAAAATTAACCCTCGTTGTATGAAGGTTCAAAACTGATTTTCTGTCTGCTCCAGCTGCAGCACAGCGAGCTGCAGCTGCTATCTCTGGATGGGAGGGCAGAGAAGGCAGGGGAGGGAGGTCCCTTCTGGGGTCCTCTCAGCCTTGTTGGAGTGGGGGGGCAGTGGATTGGAGCCCCTAACCTCAGCGGGGGGCTCCAATCTACCGCCCCCCACCACTCTAGCGGGGCTGAGAAAAATCCAGAGAAAATCCTCCTCCTCCCACCCAGAGATAGCAACGGAGCTGGGAGGGGAGGGGAGGAGGGACAGAGCCAGGGAAAGACACAGTCTCATCCACCCTCCTGATCCATCAGCTAATCTCTGCTGCATAGGAGTGATTGGTCTAACTCATAGCAATTTCTGTGAATCGCTATGAGTTAGACCCAGGAGCTCCACTTCTGTCTGCACTCATATTTGATGGCCGATTCTTTTTTCCCACTTGTTTCTATGTCTCCACTTGTTCCAGTTCCAATACAGGGCTGGACTCTGCCCAACAGGCAGGAATTTCATATCACCAGTGCAAACTCAAAATCCTGTCTTACTGTTCCCATACATCTTAGAAGCAGTCTTTCTTTTTTTCTGTCTTCATTATATCTCTTTAAAAAGCTGTATATCTAGAAGTTTAAGAGGATTCGGCTGTGCTTTTCCTACAACTGCCAAGCCAGGTTACAGTACACCCACTAGCAGAAAGCAAGATAAATCTTCTTTGAATGACATAGTTGAAATGATCTACAGCTAGAAGCAAATCATTTGTGACCTTGAAAAACTGAAGATTATCATAAGCAGAGCTGTCCCTATGGGTGCTCCGAGGCCCAGGGCATATCAGCCCGTGTGGGGGCAGGGGGTGGCAAGCAGCCACAGCATGGAGCCGGTGGCACGCGGAGCCAGCAACGTGCAGCAGCCGTGGCGGGGCCTGCACAGCACAGTCCGCAGGGCCCCCCAAAGCGTGCGGCCTGGGGCATTCGCCCCGATCCCTCCCCCCCAGGACAGCCCTGATCATAAGAGATGATTGGGAAGTAAACAGCTATAGTTTGCATGCTCTGTTTTGAGGAATGCCCTGCCACTGCCAGTTTTCATGTACTGCGGGCACAAACCTGGCAGAATGAAGTATCATAGCTAGTCCAGAGAAAATCAATACTAATTAAAGGGGAAATCTGACACATGTAACAGGGTCCTCATCTGGCATTTCAGGATTTGCTGGGCCTGGGGTGAATGCAACAGAAAGCTCAGAAGAAAGAAGGGGGGGGGGGCGGGGGGCAGAAAGAAAGATTCCCTTAGAACAAAAAATGCCAGTTCTTAAATGCTGCCAAGAGAAAAATCTTTGAAAATGTCAAGTATGCTTATTATAGAACATCTCAAATAGCTCTATGTTATGCAGATACACTTAACTGACAGATATCCCAAGGCCTCACTGACCTTGGAATCACAAGGTGAGATGGACATACATGTCAGGACACAGTCTCCCTCGGTTATACACACACACACACACACACACACACACACACACACATATATATATTTTAGACATCGCCAGGCATAAACTTTAAACAAATCTATCTTATTTCCACCCAACTATTTTTCTTGAATACATACTGAATATGGGCAATGTAGTAATGGTCCCATTCTCAGAGTTAATTTATTTATTTTATTTTAGCTATCCCATACCATTAATGGACAAAGTTCTCCTTTTTTATGTTTTCCTCTCAAATGCCAAAGCAGGAGAATGAACCTTAAATGTTATATAAGACATTTCCCCAAAAATGTTTTGGTTGTGTCAGGGACCAAACTGACTTTAAAGAGTGGATGTTGATCATTGTCCGTCAGTGAAACCAGCAACAATGAATTACAGAAATGCTTAGGAGAGGATCAAAGGTTAGAAGAGAAGGGACAGAAAGATCCTGACAAGGAAGGAAAGAGAAAAGCAGAGTCTAAGCAGATATCTTTTAGTAGACAAACTAGATTTTTGAAAAAAAAAGGCTTTATTTGCAAGCTTTTGGGCACAAGCACCTGCCTTCAGGCATAGGAGAAAAGACTGTAAAAGTTCTCCTAGGCAGAACTTTCTACCTAGGAGAGGTAGAAGATAGGAAGACCATGGGTAGAGATAGGAGGGAAGGGGAGAAGGGAAGGAAATGTGTGAAGGAATGCAAGCAATCACTTGAAGGCCCTTCCCCTCCCTCCCCTCCTATATCTACCCATTGTCTTTCTAACTCCCCTTCATTTCCCTTTTTGCAGATGTGCTAGTTGTAAATCTGCTTCTTTCCTACCTTGGAGAACACGTAACACCAGCAGAATCTCCCTATGTCCAATGAAGGGTGTTTGTGCCTGAAAGGATCCAAAGAACTTTTTTCCAACTTTTTAGTTCGTCTAATAATAAAAGATATCACATCTATCCAACGAACCTTGCCTGTCAGTGGCTACTGTGCATTCAATTTAGTACTTGTATAATCGAATACTAAATAAATGCACAGTCACCGGTGTTACTGTGCAGTAGCTCCAGAAAACACCTTTTTAGTGATGCTACTGTGCAGTAGCCTAGTTATACTGTGCAGTAGCGTATTAGCACTGTCTGTGCTGTGACAAGCTATGGTGCATTATTATTAGGCTACTGTGCAGTTAGCATCTCGTGTAGACGCACCCAGTAGGATGTAAATCTAAACCTGCCACTAGCAGGTTGGGCTTCTGATATGAGAGCATGCACAACCCCCCGGGGCATTCTGCCTTCCATGGGATCCCAATTAGAAAGCAGCCCAACCATTGTTTTAATTGTTGGTACCTTTCTGCAGTCCCCTTTAAGATACGCTGCTACACAGAATGCTGTACAAACCGCGTCCCCCCCTCCCTATATTTTAAAGTTACTGTTGGCTTGGGTTTCTTTGACCTATAATGTAAATTCTCAACATATCAGCCCAGCCTTAGCAGATAAGCTTCATGAAATGAGACTGTGTATTCTGGTCATCCAGCCAGAAGGAAAACCTTGCACTGAGAAGCTGCATTAAAAGAGAGATGTTAAGGGAAAGTGGGAAAAGAGCACCGTTGGAGTGTAATGCATCTTTCATACAGCAGGCTATGCTGATTCAAAAGTTTTGGCAAGCAGTCAGCAAGCATACACTGGGCTAGTTATAGGGGCCCTGTCTTATTCTTCCACTGATGCTTGTTACTGTGGAAGATAAATGCTATTATGTCTGGCGTCTCTTGGCTCTGCAAATGCATTAACCAGCAAGTTATTGCATATGACTTTCTATTCAATAGTGTGAGCATTAGAGAGACTATACTAGACTGAAAACATTTCCCAGCATGCAAAAATCTCACCTTGCTACTGG